GTAAGTTACGTAAAATGTTATAATGTCTAAGATGTGATATGCATGTCACAACAGTGTAAGATGTGAAAAGCAGATCTCATCCGTGCCATCCAAGGTGAACTTGGACGCAAAGATACTATTCAAATCCAATATCATCCTGTATAGAAGCAGTTCATCACTGGTCTATCCATTTCATTAATTTGTAAATGATTTAAAAATTCAAACAGAAGCCAAAAGAACAAGATGTGTTTGTGAAACACTGATGCCCCCGTAGTATGGCAACATAGCAAAGATTAAGCTCTTCTTAAATGCAAATTTAATTAAAGTACCAAAAGTAGGGTATTCTCACTGGAAAACATTGTGAAATTTGAAAGTAAGCCAATGTTAAAGTTTTTTTAATAAGTACAAAAATCTCCAAGGTCAAGGTCAAAAGGTCAATGTAATTAGTATCAAATGAAAGATCTTGCCACATAGAATACTTATGCAGAGCATGAAAGCCCTAGCTCTAACCGTTCAGAAGTTATGGCCAACGATCATTTTTTTAAAAAGTAGGTCAAACTCCAAGGTCAAAGGGTCAAAGTTCTTGTTATCAAATGTTAGGTATTGTCATAAGGATCAAACATGTAAAGTATGAAAGCACTAGCTCTAACTCTTTAAAAGTTATAGTCAAGGTTTGCTTTTTTAAAGTAGGTCAATCTAAAAGGTCAAGGTCAAAGGGTCAAAGTTTTTGGTATCCAATAAAGGGTCTTCTGACAAGGATTACATATATGAAGTATGAAAGCCCTATCCTTTACCGTTCAAAAGTTATGGCCAAGGTTAAAGTTTTTTCACAAGTACGGAAATCTATAAGGTTAAGGTCAAAGGGTCAAGGTTGTTGGTATTCAATGAAAGGTCTTTCAACAAACATAATATATTTGAAGTATAAATGTCCTGGTATCTACTGTTCAAAAGATATGGCCAAAGTAAAAGTTTAAAATTTTCATGTAAAAGTGGGTCTAACTCCAAGGTCAAGGTCAAAAGGTCAAATTTGGTGGTACTCAAAGAAAGGTCTTGTCACAAGGAATACACATATGAAATATGAAAGTCATAGCTCCACTAAATCAAAAGTTATGGGCAAGGTTAAAGTTTTTTCGGACAAACAGACAAACAGAGAGACAGACACAGACAGACAGACGCGCGGACACGACAAAAACTATATACCCCCGAAACTTCGTTTACGGGGGCATAAAAAGAATGCATACTAACTACGAATCAGTTAACTGTAATTTTTATAGACATTTGTTATATACAAGACTCTGTGCCATAATTATCAGTAAAATTTTATTAAATAATAGTAAGAAGAAAAACTTTGTTAAATGAGCCAGCCAGTATGCAAAATAAGTAAGGGGTAAGCTAACAAAATTTGACAGCAGTAATTAATTGACTTGTCTCAACTAACTATAAGTATCATTGGGGATAAATCAAAAACAGCAGTTCAACACTGACCTGTATTTGAACTAGGTGTAGAACAAAAACAGTTAAACACTGACCTGTTAATGAGCTGAGTGTAAAACAGCAGTTAGACACTGATCGACCTTGATCTGTATTGAACTGAAACTTTCCAACAAATTGAACTTGGTTTGTGTTTTAAACCAGAGACCATGAAATTAAACATTTTGAAAGAGGCATCATTGCTTCTCATAACTATATTATTAGCCTGCTTACTTTAGTTACTTAATACTAAACGTATTACATTTAGCGGTGTATTTTATTTAGCGATTTTGGCGGAAAGCAGAGTCCGCTAATTCAAGTACATCGCAAAATGTCATGTACATTAACAATTATAACTAGCACATTCAGACAGTGCTAAATCAAATCTACGCTAACTTGTTGAAAATTGAATTTCCGCTAAATATCATACACGCCAAATGTGATACATTTACGGTACCCAGAGGTAGATCAGAATAACAAAGAGAAAATGCATTTCCACTTAATAACCAATTGAGCATCCCAATCACAGGAACCACTGACTCTGGTGCACATATTTTAAAATTTTGGAAATTTTATCATAAATCTATTTTCATCATAAAAGGTTAATTTCTACGAAAGAGCAGATTTCAAAGCATTAATTTATTTTCAGACCATGTACTCCCCCCTCGTACCCATAACCCAGGGCCCCAGAAAAACAGAACCCCTGACCCTCGAGCCATAAAATTCACAAATTTGGAAGAGACAGCTTTGCTCATTATAACTATATACTTAGTTAGTTTGTTTAATACTCAGGAGCAAAGAAGAGAATTTTCAAAGAATTTATGCATTTTCAGTATATAATCAATACATCCCTGTCCCAACACCAGAACTTCTGATCGTTGGGCCATAAAATTCACAATTTAAAAGGCAGCTTTATTCGTCATAACTATGTACTTGGTTAGTTTATTTAAAACACAGAAGCAGAGAAGAAAATTTTCAAAGATTTATGCATTTTGACTACATATAGTAAATAGAGCCCCAACCTAACACCAGAACCCCTGACCCTGGGGCCATGAAATTCACATTTTTGGAAGAGGCCCTCTTATTCAACGTAACTTTTTACCTGGTTAGTTTATTTCATACCCGGGAGCAGAGAAGATTTTCAAAGAAATAATTCGTTTTTAGTATGTAATCTATAGAGCCCCACCCTATCACTAGAATCCATGACCCTGGGGCCATGAAATTCATATTTTGGTAAGAGGCTTTCTTATTCAACATAACTATGTACTTGGTTACTTTATAAAATGCCCAGGAACAGAGAAGACGAATTTTAAAGAAATAATGTATTTTTACTGTATAATCTTTTAGCCCCTGACCCTGGGGCCATGAATTTCATAATTTTGGTAGAGAATTCAATGGTGATTACAATAATACCAATATTTTGACTGCTTGGTGTACAAGATAAAAGAAGAAAATTTTAAAGATTCTATTGCTTTTATTGGTTTTTGCCTCACCCTCAGGCCCCAGTTACTTTATTTAAAAGCTAAAGCAGAGAAGACGATTTTCAAAGAATCAATACATTTTCACGATATAATCAATAGAGCCCCTCCCTAACACCAGTAGCCCTGACCCTGGGGCTATAAAATTCACTTTTCTAAGAGGAATCCTTGCTCATCATAACTATGTATTTAGTGAGTTTATTTAATACCCAGGGGCAGAGAAGATTTTCAAAGAATTAATGCATTTTCATTATATCATCAATAGAGCCCCGCCCTAACAACAGAACCCCTGACCCTGGGGCCATAAAATGCACACTTTTAGAAGAGGCACTCTTGCCTATCATAACTATGTACTTACATGTAGTTAGTTTATTCAATACCCAGGAGCAGAGAAGAAGATTTTCAAAGAATTAATGCATTTTCACTATATAATCAATAGAGCCCCTCCCTCACATATGACCCTTTTTGCAAAGAATTAATGCATTTTCATAACAATGTACTAGGGGCAGAGAAGATTTTCAAAGAATTAATGCATTTTCACTATAATCAATAGTTTCTCAATGATATCCCTGACCCTGGGGTCATGAGATTCACAATTCTAAAAGAATGACCCTTGCTTATCATAACTTTATAGGTAGTTCATCTGCTTAAAATCCAAATAATGGAGTGTCACTATATAATCAATATAGCCCCACCGTAACACCAGAACCCCTGACCCTAGGGCCATAAGATTCACAATTTTGGAGGAGGCACTCTTGTTCACGATAACTATGTACTGAGTTAGTCTATTTAATACCTAGGAGCAGAGAAGAAGATTTTCAAAGATATAATTCATTTTTTCAATATAATCAATAGAGCCCCGCCCTAGCACCAGAACCCCTGATCCCCGGGCCATGAAATTCTAAATTTTGTAAGAGGCACTCTTGTTCATCATAACAATGTACTTAGTTAGTTTATTTAATTCCCAGGAGCATAGAAGAAGACTTTCAAAGAAACAATGCATTTTCACAATATAATTTATTTAGCCCCGCCCTAGCACTAGAATCCCTGACCCTTGGGCCATGAATTTCACAATTTATGTCAACAGTTTGACTGCTTGATGTCCAGGAGTAAAGAAGATTTTTAAAGATTTCATTAATTTTAGTTTTTATTTTTGGCCCCACCCCTCAGGCCCCAGGTGGCAGGGATCAAAAAATTCATAACTTTTGTTTTATACATACATGTGGATGTTGTATACCAAATTTGGTTAATATTGGTTCTATGGTTTCAGAGAAGAAGCTGAAAATGTTCAAATGTTAACACACGACGCACGACGACGGACGAAAAAGGATAGCAATAGGTCACCTGAGTGACTCTTGGACCTAAAAATCTTTCGACGATTTTTTTTCTGCTAAAGATGACACAAGGTTTTGAACAGTGAATGACTAATTTCTTATTCCAATTGGGAAAAAACTCTCCATGTGTTTGATTACTAGTGTTATGTTGGTTGTTCCCAAGAAGGATAATCTTTGAAGATTAATTGCAACCTCTGAGTATGAGTAAATTTAAGATGGAAAGTGACAATCCAAATTAAATTTCAATTTTTAATACGAACTTAAATACAATACATTGCTAGGAAAGCTTTCCATAATGCGAACTACTAGTCTTTAAAGTTTCTATATTTATCATTCCTTTTTCAATTTTAATTCTCATCATTTTTGTCTACTAGATCATACCACTGTCCTTTGAATTAATAACAATTGCAAGCTTTTCATCAATAGAATAATCTAAATACGTGACAAGGCCCGTATTTTTTCAATTACAATACCATTTATTTGAATTATATTGCCAGTTTTCTTGAAATTTTCTCAATGAGTAATTGAATTTCAATTCAGCTAAGCGCATACTTTGTGAAAGACCTGTTTATATTCAGGTTAACATCATTCGTGTTAGGTTTTAGATTCTGTCTCTCATTTGACTGATATAAGTAACATAGAAGAAAGCATGAGAAGACGAAAATGTAAAGGCTGTTGGTTAAAAATTAATTTAAAATTCTTTCAGAAATTGAACATATAAGAAAATTCCTACGAATAATTAAGAGTATGTGGTTTTATTCGACCAATCTAAAATAATTTTTTACTTATTTTTTAATATATAATTTTTTTTCATGCTCTGGAATAGTAGGTGGATTTATCCGGAATCTGCCCGGCATTACACCCATCTCCTACACAGCAAAAATGGCAGCTGTACTGTCCTGACATTGGAACACTTCCATATTGCAGACAGTAGTCTAAATCAGACGTCTGGTGGAGCCATTTGTTTCGACACTCTTGCTCTGACACGCACCTAGTAGATAAAACCCCAGCAACAAATTATGTAACTTACAAAAGTGCAAGAATTTATTTAGTTAATACCAATTTATATATCTGATCATGAGATGATTCCCTTTTTCATTTAAAACTTACTCTGCTAATTCTAAGGAAAAATAACTTTCAGACTTTTTCCCCATTTACCTTTTAAAGGTTTTAGGATAGGGACTCCCATCGTGGACAATATCAGTCATACAGAAGTCCTCCCCCGGATCACAGCTTTGTAAGTTACCCAAGTAGATGGTCCTCGTGTCGCAAGGCAATGAGTTATTAGCGTTTCCACACGTGTGACACATTCTTACTGCTATCAATGAAAAAAACGACAAGAAGTTTTAAACAAAACTGTTCTCTAAATGATTATGAGATATACATCTTTTCCAAAAAAAAATGTTTCTATGGATAATGCTGTGTATAGTGATTATAATTTGCATTCTTAGTAATTGCTGGAATATATACACTAATCACAGGTAAAAAGAAATTTTCAATTAATATATAAAGAAAAAGGGTCCACTAATTTTTTGAAATATTGGTGGTTTTGTCATTAGAATTAGCCATGTTTTACTGTTTATAAGTTACATACATAAAAAGGGTCGGATAACCTGAATGTGTAGTTGGTGAGCCTGTTGTTGTTATTGATGTTGTTGACGTTGTTGTTGTTTTTGCTGATGCTGTTGTTGCTGTTGTTTTTGCTGATGTCGTTGTTGTCCTTTTAGAAGTTGTTTGTTCTGTGGTTGGCATTGATGTTGACGATGTTGTTGTAGGAGCAACTGTTGATGTAAAGCATTTTGTTAAATTTTTCGTAACTATTTATTTTGAGCAAATGCGAAGCAACGGAGCATGTATATAAGGGGTGTTAAGAAAGTTCGTTCCATGTCGAAATATTTTCAAAAAATTCAAAGTAGTGCTTAGCTAAAGAGATAAATTTTCAAGTGTGACAAAAGTGTGCTTTAGATTTATATCAATTCATTTCTACCACGGAAGTTATCGGATTTCTCTTCGATATGAAAATATATATAACATTCTTTAAAGCACCCAAATGATAGAAATGCTGGTCATTTTGAGTGAAAATAAAATAGCTACATAGCTTTTCTTGCGTCAGACAAGCTGATGAGCGTACATGAAGGTATAAGAAAGATAGATCACTTTCCAAAAGAATAGGTTTGTCAATTTGAAATTTTTCAGAAAGGATGTTTTGATCTGTGTGCTTAATATATATCACAAATATTCCTAATTTCTAATTTTCCTAATTTTTCTGCACAGACATCATCTGTTTGAATACCTGCCCTCACCTTATTGATTCAACAAAAGACGGTTTAAATCTTATCAATAGCAAGGATGGACTCCGTAAACATGAAATATCACAAATTGTAAATATTAAGTTCTGAAAAGGAAAATGAATTTAAAGAATATTTCAGTCAAATAGTGTCATTTTTAATTTTTTCAGACCTGAAATTTTTGCAACAGATTAAAATGTGGCCTATTATGTCAAATATCAATTTTTAATTATCAAAAAGGTCCTTTATATCACAAACATTGCCCAAAAAGAAGGCCAATTAAAATTTGTAAAGGGAAATTTTTTGCAAAGAGAAAGAATAATTGGCCTGTCTTAAATGGATTTTTCATTTTATTACTATTCTGTCAACACCCAGGTACCTATGCTTTTATGTTCAAATTGTTTTTTTTTTTTCTAAAGAAGTGCAAAATACAGAGTACAGATCAATATTAGTAAAAACTTTTCGAATGGACGCTATACAAACAAACAAACCTATACAGGTACACATGTGGTTATAACATCGTCCAACTTTCTGATTCGGGCAGCCATGACATTCAGTACTTCTGGAACAATGCTGGATGGTAGTTGGCTTATGGGTTGTTGGCACCGCTGCAGTGAAAATATGTAGTAAATTCATTTACGATTTTAAAAAATACTGCATCTATATTTTTTCTTTGACTTCCTTGAAAATCGTATTAAAACTTTTTTCACCCCACACCTTTTCTTTAAATTACATAACAAGTCGTGATCATGTGTTTCATTATTCAAGGACATACGCAAGGTACCTTATCTACTGATAAATTTTCCAGATATTCTTAATTTAAGATTATAGTGTCATCAGATATTCAAACACAAAAAATCAGCTTACATTACCAGGTTTTTTGGAAGATATCAAATTATGAAAAATTTTGCATTATTCAAAGAAAAATGCGCAAAAATTACGAAATATAAATTTAAAATTTTTGTTTCTATCAAAATTTGTTTTAGAAGATGTGTACACATCCATATATAGACATTAAAAGTATTACATACAGGTCCTTCATTTAGTTGAACCCTTCAATTCCAGGGAAGAGCCCAATAAAATTCAAACTACACTGCGTATGACCTTACGGATATTTTTATCATAAAGCGAAAGATTTATGTGAATTGAAATATGAAAAATTCAACTGTACTGTAAAGCAACTTAAGAAAAGAGTGTAAAATATAATAGATTTTTGTAAGGTTCAAAAACCTGTATTTTTTTAATTATAATATTACATAATACAATCAGGCATTGAACAAAGTCGGTGTCGCCTTAAACTTTGATTCTACATATGTGCTTAAATTAAGTTGACTCTATCATAAATCACTTGTTCATACTCTTTTTCTATGCCCTAACTGCAAATATCCAACATGGTTTATAAAACATTAAAATCATTAAAATGTGGAACGATCAAATGAGGATTGATAAGACAAGTATGCAGAATAATGTATACATACATGTGAACACTCCGTAAGCACAACATTTTCATCTTGCAATGCTAGATTAATTAGGAATGCACTTGTTGAACATAATTACACTTTTACCCCAGATGGATAGTTCACTGGTAGATACCATTCAGACACCTTTTTAGTGGCAGGAAAAGACAATTATAGTAGAATTTCTCTATTATGCATTAAATATTACTTTACACTGACATTGCGCTATCAAATAAATCGTATTACTAAGCATTGCTATTTCACTGTCTGACTTATACTTACACTGAAATTTCACTATTAGACTAAAACCCTAACACTGACATTTCATTTTCACACTTATACCTTTACAATGATCTTTCGCTGTCAGACCTATACCCTCACACTAATATTTCGCTATCAGACCTATACCCTTACACTGATATTTTTCTATCAGACATATTTATAAACTGACACTGATATTTCGCTTTCAGACTTACACCTTTACACTGACATGTCACTTTTAGACGTACATGTGTATACCTTTACACTGACATGTCGCTTTTAGACGTACATGTGTATACCTTTACACTGACATGTCGCTTTTAGACGAACATGTGTATACCTTTACACTGACATGTCGCTTTTAGACGTACTTGTGTATACCTTTATACTGAGATCATGCTTTTAGATGCTTTACACTGACATGTTGCTTTAAGACATATACACATATACCTATACAGTGGCATTTATGACCGTGATGTCGATCGCAGAACGGCCTGTAATTAGTGTGGCATGAATGATGTCTGCAGTCTGAGTCCTTGTGACATCCTACGAGAAATAATGTATTAATAATTGACATGTTGTCAATAAAATTTGTTCAAAACAAACAATAATATTTAAAATGGTTAATAAGGAGGTATTTTTGTCTGGTTTTTGCCTAGGTGAAATATTCAAAGTAAATTTGCTTATGTCTTATATATTTAGATGTAAGAGATTTAAAACATATCTTTTCTTTCCTCATCACAATTGTGCAACTTTAAAAAGAAATAGTTGACAGAATTTGAAAACGATCAGGGACTATATTTACTATCATGCTAACATTGGATCTGCTCCACTATCTCCACTATCTGAGGGTATTTAAACAAATATATGTCAGATGGGAGCTCCAAAATGCCTGGTTATTATTTAAGTATTTCAGCTGTAAAATTACATATTAAAGGTAGAATTTAATAAATGAGCAAATTAAAAAAAAATAGGGTCTGATTATTTTGTTAACTTACCGTCATCATCATCATCATCGTCGTCGTCGTCATCCGCCATTGCAGTAAGACATAATCCTTTCGCATGAAACAAAATATCCATATATTAAATGAATATATACAGATGTATAATTACTGTGATCTTATAGGAGAGTGAGAAAGAGAGTGATACTTTATAGGATAGAAGAAGGCACTATCTTTTATAAATTTATTGATAATAATACATTGCACATTTTAGTTAACGTGAACTTCGATAAATGTAACTATATTTATGCAAATACACTGACAATAGTTTTGCTTAGTTTGATAGCAAAAACATGTCTTACAAAACAAAATGAAAAAACGTTTGAATTGAAAACATTGTCATTTATTTTGATTATATTATATATATTGTCAAGTGCAAGCAAAAAAAAGTCATATATGCAAAAATACTAATTAAACAAAATGACAAACATTACACAATGAGCATAAAAATTATCATGTGCATAAAATTAACAAATACATTTTGTTAAGCCAATTATCATGGGCACTGAATGTTGTAAATTAAATATTATTATTTGAAAATAATAAATCTTATGTATTGCTTCAAAGGACAGTCACTATATTTGGTAATACTACAATATATGATAACGATATCTTATATTATATGCAAAGTAAGCATTAAATATCATATAATTAAAATATATGTAACTATTACAAGTATATATTTTCTTTGATTTTTAATGTTGCTATATTTTAACAAAAGCCAAATCATTTGCATTTTGTCCACTGTCGATATAACAAGTTTATTACACAATTTGTTTTCTTATGTCAGATTAATGTTATAGTTTATACTATGACATATGATGGTATGAAAAAGCATATTCATAAAGAATTATTATAACACTGTATAAACTGAAAATTTCTTTTTGTTTATTTTATGTGTTATTACACAGCATGAAATTTTAATTTTTATTTTTAAAAATCATAATCATGAAAAAAATGTCAACTACGGTGCAAGATAATTGTGTCTACATGCAAGATACTATGGCATGCAAATTAGTGCTATAATAATTTGAATTATTTCATTTAAATCAGACATCGATGCATTCAAATACATTATATCAATACATCTTGTTAGTATAGGTAAATTTCCTCTTTCATTAAATCTTCGTCTACGCGAAGTCTTCATATATGTTATATTGTATTAATGTCTGCGATATAATTATGTTGACACATTTAGGAATTCAACTTATTATCATGTGAACATGCAAAAAGAATTGTGTGAATATGCTAAATATTTATGTCAGTATGCAACTTATTAATGTTAACATCTTGCAACATAAGATGCGACGTAATTATGTTGACAAGCGACTTATTCATGTGAACATGCAAGAGAATTGTGTGAATATGCTATATATTTATGTCAATATGCAACTTATTAATGTTAACATGCAACATAATTATGTCAACATGCAACTTTTTTATGTCAACATGCAAGTTATATATTTTACCATGCCAAGTAATTATGTCAACATGCAAGATTGTAAGTTGTATTTCAACATACATATCTTGCATGTTGACATAATAAATTTGCATGTCAACATATTTATCTTGCATGTTGACAAAGATAAGTTGCATGTCTACATAATTAGCTTGCATGCTGACATAAATAAGATGTATGTCAACATAAGTGTCTTGCATTTTACATGTATGATGTCAGATAAAGGCGTTATCAAGTAAATTTACCAATATTTCAATTATATATTTTCTTGCAAGGTTGGAAACCTGCATGTCAACATAATAAATTTGCATGTAGACATAAATAAGTCACATTTTGTCATATTTTTCTTGCATATTAAATTGTTAACCTAATTTATTTTGCATGTAGGGGGCAGAAATATGCTACCATATGATGGCAAAAGCATCTTTAGAACCATTTTTTGTCATTGCTACGAAAATTGACAACGGAAAATATCAATTAATTGATGAAAGTGTTGAGTAATGACAAAATTCATTATATAATGTTTCATAAAACGGGACTTCAAAGAAGTATGCAAATTTTTGTATTACCTGCAAAGATGATAAAAATAAAAACCAGCTTCTTCATTATAACCTATATGTCCAAATGGACTAAGTAGGACACTATGGGGCTCACCGTGGGGATGTCCAATCAAATAGGATGAGATATGTGGTATACATAAAGGGTGAAATTTATTTCATTGTTGATTTCCCGATTGTGAATGTCTTATCTCCATTATGAAGACAGATTATTAATTGATAAATCATACACAAATATATATAACTCAAAACGACGTCAGAATCATAACTATTTGAAAGACAGGATACTTCGGTTCTTTTCAATGTGTAAACTATTTAGCATATATTTCAAATGAAATGGTAACCATGGGCAATTTTTGAATTCGAATGGACTCTAAATGCTTAAAACGCTCTGTATTCACGAATGAAAGGTGTTACATGATCAACATCATGCTGCTTCTGTTTTAAGAATTCAGTTACTTTTTAATCAAGAAATATACACTGTATTTTGTCTCAATTTGTACCATATTTATCTGATTGAAATAAAATTAATTATCATATATTGATCACGCTTTATTTCAAAAAATGTTGTTATGGTTACGAAGAATGCAAAATGTTCAATTTTGTGAACATTAAAGCAATACAATACTTTAAAATATGATAGTACCGGTTTTCAAATATATTGAATCCATTGGAGATTCAATTCTGATAGTAGCGTAATGTATCAAAACTAAAAGTTGAGTTATATTGTTCATAAATATGCTTTTATGGTTATTCTTATATATCAGGCTAAAGATCTCCCTAATATATGACTATGTTTAAAATTTCACACACAGCAATTGAAACTCTTCAAAACCATATGCCATTTATTTTACTCTAATATATCTTCACATTGTGAGTTTCAAAGCATTTCATCAAAAAATAGAAAAGTTGCAGCTATATCTATTATATTGGTCATTTTACGTCTTGCACGTGCGCGCTCTTGCAAGCAACTCCATAAAAATCAACCTTGACAATCAAAACACAATGTCTACTGAAAAAAGGTTTGACCTACATTATTTACAAGATCATTCCCGGACAAAAAAGTACCCAGGAAGAAGAAGAAGAAAAATAATAATAAGAAGAAGAAGAAACAGAGTAAAAACAATATGTTCCCCAACTTCGTTTGGGGAACATAATTATCAAATATTGATCACGCTTTATTTTAAAAAATGTTGTTATGGTTACGAAGAATGCAAAATGTTCAATTTTGTGAACATTAAAGCAATACGTACTGGATATCTTCTTGAATTTAAGATAGTGTTGCTGTCAAAACTAAAAGTTGAGTTAATTGTTTCAATCATAAAATATTTGGATACACATAGCAAGAAACTCTTTAAAACCATATGCTTTATTTCAACACTTTATACAACTATTCCACACGATTTATTTTAAGTTCTGGGTTTTTGACATTATAGACACCTGCTTTTTCAATAAAAATGGAAGTCATAAAAAATACTTACCGTGTCATTGATCGTTTGCAAAATCATTTTGTTTTTAAAAAGTCTGATTGTACACACAAGTACTTGACAGGAGATGTTTACTCCTCCTTGGCACCTGATCCCACCTCCGTACAGAAATGCCTTTGTGACATTAGAACCATAGTAATAAATGCCAACTAAATGGATACACCGGTATCACATTTTGAGCTTTGTGTGTGTTACAAAGATCTTTCTCTATTATTTAGTTGTATTTCAACCTTAAATTGCTTTTATGTTTCAGTGCATGATTTTATAAAAAAGAATAAATATATAAATAGCTTTCTTTTGTTTTCACAAATACCCGATTGCATACATGTAAAAACGTACGACTTTTCAACACTTTATACAACTGATCCAAACGATAAATTTTTAGTCCAGGCTTTTTGACATTATAGACAGCTACTTTTTCAATGAACTTGAAATCATAAACATGCATACTGTGTCATTGATCGCTAACAAAATCATTTTGTTTTGATTGTATACAAGTACTTGACAGGAGATGCTCACTCCTCCATGGCACCTGATCCCACCTCCGAACAGAAATGCCTTTTGTGTCATTAAAATCAAATCAATCAATGCCAACCAAGAGGATATATCACATTTTGTCTTGGTGTATGTTACAAAGATCTTTCTCCATTTTTCGTAGAATTTAAACCTTTAATTGTTTTTAGTGCATAATTTTATAAAAATGGATGCCTTACTTTATTTGTCATGCATTTAAGACATGAAGTCTTCATCTTTTGTTTTTATTTTATTTTAGGGAATCATACCTTGGTAACCAAGACATTACTAACTAATTGTTCGCCTGGATTGAGTTAACGGTATCGAAGACTTTTATCAAAGAGAATTTGGAGAAACTCGGAGACTTGGCATGCCACAGCTCCTATATATAGAAGTTTTAGGCATTATAGATAACTTTAATGGCTCTAAAAACGGATGCTTCAAACATATCACAGTGCACATAAAAATATTAGATCAAAATTAAAGGGGGGTCTTTGAAGTACTAGTATTTTTTAAGTCATAAAGCAATGTTGAAATAGTCATCAATGTATTTTTTTCATGATATACTGTATTTCTGGATTCTTTTATTTTAGACAATATTGCAGTCGAGATCTACTTCTGAGGCTTGCAAAAAATATAATGTGTTCAACCAGTCTACAATTTTGAACCGAATGGCTCTGTGTATACCACTGAAAATGTACATTTCTACAGAGACTATCCCAATCACGCTACGACTTACAAGAAATCAAAGTACTGAAAGTACTGGGAAGCGGTTGCTTTGAAATTGGCATGGGGAAATAAAAGGCAGAAAATGAGCTGGTGTGGATAAATTTCACTGATGAAGATTACTTGGTGTCAAATTTTACAGCAATACGAATTTGATAAATTCTTTGAAATTAATTCTCTGTTCGCACGACGACACCTAAAAAATGAACAAATATTCTGCAGGGATTGTGATTGAAAGACTGAGACTATTGTTGTTCTATCAGGAGTACAAAGTCCAGCTTCTCCTCTACTATGTGAATCAAAAAGAAAGAATCGAAAATGATGATAGCCTAAACATTGCAAAAATGGATTCCAGTGGGATTCGTAGTCCATCTATGCCACCTTCAATTAGCATGCATCCAAACTTGGTTTCATTTTTCTGAATGTAAAACAATTACCCTCATAAATAGCAAAATCGGGCATAGGCGTTGGAACGGGGGGGGGGGGTTTACCTTGTTCTTTGTCACTATTAAAGTCTCTTAAAATTCCTTAAATAATAGGCCTAGCTAAATTATTCGATAAAATGATAAATAATCAGCAAAAGGCAAGACAGTTTTTGCGGGGTCGGGAATTAAATGCAAACTTTTCAGAGAGAAGGAACCAATAAAACACAGCCCGTCTTTACGACAATTAATGCAAAAATAAATAATAAACAAAATATAACACTGCAATCGCTGATTTGATAAGAATGTGTTCAATTATATACGTTCAGTCCTACGATATTACTTATGTCTACTTGCACTTGGATTATGTAACTAAAAGCTAAGGACCCAAACACTACGCTAAATGTACCTAAATAATCTATTATTATGTAGAACTATTCTGTTCTCGTCTTCACTGCCAAATTTGCCCCTGCAATATTGCATGTAACCCCAGATAATTCAGCGCAGGCTTTCGGGTATTTCCGTCAAAGATCTGAAAAGCTGCAATCTTTTGCTCATAGGTAGCGCCTTATGGAGGTTTCTGCTTACTGTTGAAATTGCGTAATCTCGTTGGACACATGATATAAAGCGGCTAGCGAACACGCTAACTGCTTAAAAATTTTGTGAACTAGTTTACAAGTGCTGAAAAGTTTAATAATTATGCATGAGTGTTTGAACCTCAGTTTTATAATTGATGATGATGAGCTTTTAAATAAATAAATTGAAATAATCTAAAGTTTTCGATTTTTATTTATCCTTCCATTTTTTCTAATTAGTCAGCCTTCTTTTTATGACACATAGAGAAATAGTAGTGTTTCCTCTCTTCTTGTGGTTGTTGCTTCTATACCTTTTAATACCAACTTGATGTGGTACCTGTCAGGTACTTTAAGTTACTGACTGTTACTCCATTTTCTTCTTGACAAGGAATGAACTGTAACAAAGGGAAAACGGGAGGGATCGAGCAAAATCGTTGGCTGGAAAGGAAAAGTTGGATGGATCACAAGAGTAACAACAGTTACAACAGTTACAAGGTCATTTTGGACAAAATCCGCAACCTCAGCGGGAAATCAACAACGACTTTGCAAAATATTTTTTAAAATTTTTAACTTTTTTTGGTATTTTCAATTTCCAAGCTATTTGAAAATGCTGCAATCTGAATAATGCACAACACAAAAAGGTAAGTTGCTGCCTGGAATCGGCAATTTAAATGTACAGTTTGAATTTGCAAGAGGTTTTAATGATGCACTAAACATTGCGTTCTATCCTGAACAACAGATATCAGCAACAGTGAACAACAAATGATTGCAAACTATGGCAGACGGCACATTTAATCAGCAGCATGGGATCGCCTCGTTGGTTTGTGTCATATTTATCAACATTCTGTATTATTGTTTTTGTCAACTCTTTTCCTCAGAATGATTCTGCATCGCTTGATTTTCAATTACTTAAACTCAAATACATATTAGAATCGAAATTGGTCATTTATTAGCAAAATGACTACATGTATCAACTTTTTCATATATACAACATATGTACAATAAGAAAGATAATTATTACTTATAGTTCAAACTATATCAATGCAAATTTATAAACTTACTGCGTCCTTTGGACGACGTCTTAGCCTATCGTTATTGTCTGCAGAGGCAAACCAGATTTTGATTTTGAATGCATATGACCTTGTACAACTATATACGATTGTTAAAGTATTAAGTAGTTAATTTTCCCTTGCAATGAGATTGGATGGGATATATATTAACACAAATGAGATTGTGTTTGTAGGTGTGTTACATGCATGTTCTGTTTGAAACAGTCCTTGTTATAATTAATTGTAGATCTGTTGTTTATAACACTTCTTTTAATTTGACGCCTCATTGTTCTATATATTCATTATATCTAATGTCTCTCTCTATATTTGAATAAACACAATTGTCAGTTGTCCTTATTTCTCATTGACCTCTTGATATACCTATCCTCAATCTTTCTAGTGCCCTTGTACAGTGTAACGTTACGCAATAAAATCTATCATCAGTGTAGTATCTGTTGAGGTTATGTGATATATACAAGGTTCTTAGGGCAAAGAGGCCAATATTGATAACAAATATATAGGCAATGATAAGACTATTGAACATGTTAATTCCCAATTAATTTATCATTACCACAATATCGCATCGTCCTTTCAATATTTATATACTTTAATTTGTTATTTTTCAATCAAAAAAACAGATGTGCTTTTATCTTTTTGAATGTTGTGAATTAATGAAGAATACCATGAATCATATTTAATGTGTAAGCAATTTGTATGCCAACAACAAGCAAAATACCAAATAAAAGACAACGTATTTTTTTTTTTCAAAAACATATTATGTAGCGTTTTCTTTTTTCCTACATTTTGATTCTCTTTCGAGAAAACCACTTGAGGACATCTGAATATCTAAAAGATAACTGTTGGTGTTTCATTTTCACAAATATTTTGATAAAATAAATCTTTGCTTTATATCGGTATGACGATCAGGGAAAGTAAGGTAAATTTGATCTACTTTTTGTGCTCATTTTATCAACATTTGCCCTCCTTATCATAACCTGAATTATATATTACTATTACAGTTCAAAGTGACTAGCAATGGAATTAAAAAATTATTTTATTGAAGGGTTGAATTCTTAGCATAGATATTCTGTGAAAAAAATTATGAACAAATAATTCTTTTTCAGTCCAGAAACGGGAATAAAAACGTGTATAACTTATTTTATTTATCAATGGGGCAGGAAACTTCCAATATGTTTGTTCCTTTCATTTAACTAGGGGGTACATAGAAAGATTATCTTTAGGACCATTAATATTGAAGAAAAACAGTAGCCTTAGAATATATTAAGTAAATATTACTTGGTTTAATGGTCAAATTTAAATATTTTTTTAACTTGAATCTTTAGAACAAAATAATGAAAGGAAACATTTCAACACTTCGAACTGCTAGATTAAAACCATCGCTAGCTATCATTATGCCTTTTTTGCGATTTGGAATTCCATCATTTTATGTAGACTAGATCAAGTTTTTGTCCGTAAAATCATCCTCTTATGAGATAATAATGAACTTTCATTCAAAGAAATATTTAAATGATCGTTTAATATGCCAAGTTACGTATTCTTTCATAAAGTCAATAACATTCACAACAAATAGCAGATGGTTGCAATAGTTTTTTTCATGCTTCTAACCGGTATTTTGATTAATTAGAAATGTTAATTATTAAGATAAGCTAACTTTGATATACTTTTTTGTTAATTATATTAAATTTTGTCCCTCTCATCATAGCCTGAATTAAATGCATGTATTATACTACAATTCAAAATGATGAGTTTGGAATATAAAAAAAATATATTGAAAGGGAAATTTTCTGAAAATCAGCATAAAAATATTTGTTTATAAGATTAAAATTTTTTCAAACAAAAAAAAATGACGTGATCGTGAAAGGTATATGCTGATTCCTTTTCTCGATATGCACAGAACTTTTGATTTGTTTGTTTCTTTATTTACATTAAGCTGTCTTATAAAAGCATTCTGAGAGTATTGCATAAACAATACATGTCCGCTACCGGGTATCCCTTTTCTCTTTTAGGTGTCATTTTATAAGACCCTGCTTATTAATAGTGCCCCCCAAAAAAAAAACATATATGGACCTTGTGGCAAGAAGTTATTTATTTATGAATGAAAAGCCTTTTAATTAAGTCAATCTGCCTTACAAACAGAGACGTGTTAGAATTCCATTAGACATATACACCCCTACTAATGTGTTTGGAACCTTTTATTTTTCGGTGTTCTGCAAATTATAAAATCCGATGAGTTCAGAGTAGCTCTGACAGTGGCTCTGGCGAGAGTTAGCGAGACTTCAGCGAGATAGGGTAAATTATTCACGGAAATGTGGCTAGGAAGTGACTAGCACGTGGAGACATGGTAAACAGAAAAATTATGTTGCGTGTTAGTTTTCACCACCCTATAATATCATTCTGTAGAAATGTACTTCGATCGATCTTTCTTGAATTCATTCAAGTTTAAATTATAAGTATTTTCTATGACACAATTTTCTGCTGTCATGATATAAAATTTCTTTTTGGACAAATATTTTGCATGGGAACCAGGACTATATTTTTTGGCGTCAGATTAGGAAATGAGGCACCACGTGACTTTAACTGACAAATCAGATGAATGAGAATTGCATTATGGGTTACTATACGAATACTACAGGAATTTTACGCTTGATAAATTCCTTTATTGTACTATCAGTGAATACCATACAAGGTGGATTCCCTGGCGAACACACATGATCACGAACATAGTTTTGTAAAAAATGTTTTGTCCATTTAAATGCATACGAGCGGCTGCTCGTTTTCCTTACCCTTGAAGTGCTGGTGTTCTGAACTTGACACCACGTATACATTTTATTTAACATATTTTTCTCTAGTTAACAACAAATGAAAAACGCCCGTGATATTTTTCATAGCTTCTAAATTTTGATTTTTTTTCATAGAGACATTTTTTTATTTTGCACTCCATTGACATGTTTATGGATTGACCTGAACCACGTGTTCGAAATAACATGTAAACATGTATTTGGCGTAAACGTATTTGATCAACAATTGGTCAGTTGCTCGTGGTAAGATCCTCTGTGCGCATTAATAGCAATAGCCATATAAGGCAAACAAAGGTTTGTCAGTGTAGATGCTATCACACATATTTTTAACCAGCGTATCGGTCGCTAGTGATCGAGCTGTAATTTTTGCAGTAAACTATGATAAGATGTATTAATTGTTATATAATCACTCCACCCCCTTAAGTCACCCATTTATGTTGAAAATCATGAAAGTCTTTCAGAAAGGTGTGGAAACACATTTTTCACAGGACATGCTTTCGGAAGAAACAGACTATAGCAATTTCCTGTTTACTGTCAATTTTATTTATAAAACCGGTTCTACCCTATAACCTTTGAATAGGTAAACCTAAACCACGTGTCTTGAATTTAAATCACAATAACATTAGTAGGGGTGTTTTTGTGTGCAGAACAATACCAATACCGAAGCAGCCGATATGTCATTCCTATAAACGATAACTCATAAATCGGCACTTAGTTGATCATTTTTCACACCTGAGTAACCTGTCCTTAAAACACAACATCGTAAAAGTCAATTATGAAATATTGAATTTTTTAATGATTTAATTAAAAGTATGCATAAGTTATTATCATTTTTGAAATTTTCATGTACCTATAAATCTATCTATGCAATGGGTTGTTTTTTTTCATATGTGCAACTTGAAAAATTAGTTGAAAGGCCTAGTAAATATTACTTGGAAAGGTTAAATTCAAATGAAATTCAAGTTTTTAAAAGCTTGAAACTTCAGAACAAAATAATGAAAGGAAACATTTTTAACAATTCGAACTGATAGATTTAAAATTATCGTCATATATCAGTATGATTTTTTTTGCGAGTTTGAATTCCATCATTTTTAGCCGGGCTTATTGCTCAAAGAGCAATTGTCGGCTTATGTGATCCTGTTCAAGGCAGGATGTTGACCCCATAGTCGCCATTTTAAAGTTACGTGCAAAAATATAATTCTTACTCTCAACCGCTTTTGAGATAATACAAACGCTCAATAAAGCAACAAAAAAAAACGGAGTTTTATTTATATAAAATAAACATTAGTATTAATGACTTTGAAAACTTCATAAGTCAAAGAACATAGTTCATTAGCGTAAGGATTTTTGATAATCAGTGTTACCGTAGTTTTCTACACAAACGAGGTAAAGCAGGAGAGGGGACCACACTGGCCTGTTTTTCTTACATTCAGCTGCGGTACCAGATTAATTCTGATTCTGACAAAATCGGACCGTGGTATTAGGATTGAAAAATTCACTGTCGATGTCTTATCATTTATATTGATAGTTTTAAAATAATTTTTTCATCAGAATATAAACGTGATTCATGTAAGAAATCCATTCTACTCTGTAAATGAGCCCGGCTCTCTGTACTTCTGAGTACTTTGATATAAAGACTAGATCAAGTTTTTGTCCATTAAATTATCCTCATCGGGATAATAATGAATTTTCATTCGAAGAATGAAACATATGGAGATAAAGAACATTATTCAAGATCAAAATTCATAAAACAATACAAAATAGGAGCAGAGCAAACACGGACCTCCAAAACATCGGAGGTGGGATCAGGTGCCATGGAGGAGTGAGCATACCCTGCCGACCTGTCACACCCACAGTGTGCTCCTTATCATGATCGGGAAATAATGGAAAAATCTGTCGTGAATTCAGTGTATAAAATAATGGACTAACAATTAGTATGAAAAACTAGAGCCGAGCTCGTTGCAAAGCAACGAGTAGGTCTTCCGTCGGAGCTGCGGACAGGGAGAAGTGACCTTGAGTCAAGGTCATGTCATGTTCTAATGTTAAAGCAATCTATTAAGGGTAGTTATCATCTTATTATGTTTTACTATTTAAAAAATGAATAGTAAAGGATTGTTTGCGACCTTGATCTTGTCAAAATGACTTTTGCGTCACACCATGACACACGCTGGTGATGAGCATATCCCATTTGTGTGCTACCGTATAGACAAATTCACACATGTTCTTTCAAACAATGTATCCAGCCAAAA